GCCCGCCGCTCTGCTGCCGCCTTGGTTCCGCGGGGCCTGGGGTCTCGGGCTGCCCGCTGCTGGGGCCCCTCAAAGTCTGCAGTTAACCCCGTGACCCCAGGGCGTCTGAAGCCCGGGCCCGCTCAGGGCTGGGAGGCCTGCCCCTCGCTAGGCCCAGGCCGCAGGGACCGCGTGGCCTCCCCTGGGCCACCGCGCTCCTCCTCCGACCGACCTTGACCTTCGGCCTCTGCTGGAAGGGAAGGGCAGAGTGAGGAGGCCTTCGGGCATTCTCGGCAGGTTGTTTTTCAGCCCCTCACCCTTTTATGAGTAAGTGCTCAGTATCCCCTGCTTCCTGCCACCACCCCCAAGAATACTGAAAGCATTACGGCCTTACTGCAAGCTATAAAACCGATCATGACCGGCGATATGGACCTTTAAACCGATCTTCTAAAAAACTCGACGGAGTAGTTTTTAAAGGATAATTTTTCAAGCAGATAAACGCATGACTCACAGAAATATGAAATGGAGATGTGTCAAAAAGGTGGTTTGACTCATTCATTAGGGAGGGAACCAGAAAGATATTGCAACACATCCAGGTGAGGGTGTGTTGCAATTCCTTTACGGACAATCAGGAAAAAGGCAAAACTGGTTAATATTGTCTAAGGTATTAAATTATAATGTTTTGAATTATCTGTTCCACAGGCAGTAATCAACCATGTTTCTAAGGTACAAAATAATTCACCTTATCTATAGATAAGAATTATTCACATTACCATAAATTTCGAAAGCTCATAGGTTGTAAAATAGCCTGGCCAAAGGCAAAGGCGAGGACTCCTGAAAACCCATGAATCTCCACATTCCTGCAGATAACATCCAGCATTCCACTGGAAGGGAACCCAGTAACCTTTTGCCCATGTCAAGGTCTTACAAAGGTCTTTCCAACAAAACTATTACTGTATGTATTTTTCAGATAGAAAAACTGAGGTTTAGGTTTTGTAACTTACCCACAGCTTTATCAGCTAGTAAATAATTATGGCTGGTTAGGAACTGAGGCAAGTACGCAGAATCTATACTCTGGGAGCAAAATCTTTTCTCCCTTAATTTCAAAGGGGCTTTGTAGCTAATCTAGGTATCTTTTATTTTAAACAGTGAAATTTTTTCAAGTGTCACTAAATTCTGGATGCTTTCCCAAAAAATTGGCATTCTCTATCTACAAAGTAGATGTCACTTCTTTAAGTTTAAATAGATGTAACAAACATGAGGGGGCTGTGGTTCTAGTCTCCACTTTTGGAAAGAGCATTTCTGCTGTCTGGGGTAATTTAATGGAAAAGTTCCTGTCATTTATTTGCAGTATGGAAACTATGATTTTTAGGAAAATAACCTAAATAAATGCAGGAACCTAATCCCTGAATTCCATCTATAGAAGAGGGGGCAGAGTTGGCAATAAAATCAGTCTTACACTTCTTTGCAAAGTAAGATGATTCATACAGAAAAGCAGCTGAAAGAATTTGATTGGTTTGTGTTTCATTTTTTTGAAATCTGAACCTTCTAGAAAAAGTCATACTGAAGGAATCATGACAGAGCTTTTAAAATATAATGCTGATAATTTAAGATTCCTAGACTGTCCATAATCTACTTTCCACTTCTAACGCTTACCTGAATGTTTGAAGGCTCTGCTAGGCCAATAGTAATCCAATACATGAGGCTATTTAATTTTAAATTAATTAAAATTAAATACAACTTAAAATTCAGTTTCTTATTCCCGATAGCCATGTTTGAAGGACTCATGAGCAATATGTGGCTAGTGGCTACCGTTTTGGACAATGTAGATACACATTTCCATCACAGACATTCTTATTGGTCAGTGCTGTCCTAGACAACATTTGCACTTCTATAAATTAGGAAAGGTTTATTGACTTAATAAGGCTTAAAAATTAGTTCTATAATAGACCATTACTGTATTGAAGATTTGAGTTCATAAGTTTTGCATGTTCCAATGAAAAGGATTGAGGACAGTGTTAGGGCATGAAGAGTGAAGTTTTGTACTGACATGCAAGGCATCCAGATGCAATGTACTTGGAGGAAGGGGTTGATTCCCGTCGATGATTTCGTTCATAAATTATGTAGCATATTGTGAGCAGTTATTCTGATTTCCTTCCTAACTAATAATATCACGATTAGTAAGAATGGACCATAAGATTAGTTGATAAAAAGTACAAAACATCCTATACTGTTTTAGGGGAGTTCTAAATATATATTTTTAAATTTTCATAGTGGATATTCTAAGTAGGTAGTCAAAGAATTAAATTTTTCATGTGCATAAGTGAAATATTGCCTGCAGTTGTGAAAGCTTAAATCAAGCCTGAATCAAATTTTAACAGTAAGGAAAATTAAGTTGAGCCTGCATACTGCCTATCACTCCTAAATTTATGGCAGGGGCCCCTGGCTGAATTTGTATTCATAGGAGTACATAAAAGGAGAGAGAGGAGTAAACAAAGTTAAAGTCTCTAGGATAATTTCTTTGTGGAGTAGGCAAAGTAATGAAAGAGCAATTCCTACAGGTAATTTTACACCTAACTTTAGGATAAAAGAATATTTTACTTATACTACTGGTTTTTTAGCCAATATTAATTTTAAAAAACCTTGTTGATAGTAATAAGGCATTTTACCGAAAGTTTCGTTATAACTTCTAATTTTACATTGGTTAATATCAGAGAGCTTTGTTGCCCTCAAATCAGTCTGATTTTGTGATACTAGCTATAAAATTAAGCTTAGATCAATAAATGGATTTTGTAATATAGGAGGTGTCATTTCTGCCCAAATAAATTGATAATGAGTCAGCATGACTTTCTACATTCATGTCTT